TATTCTTGCAGCATTATTATTGTATCGGACGTGTCTTGTTATCTCCAAATACTGTATGTCGGTGGCAGCATGGCAGCTACTGCTGTATACATAATATGTATATACTGTACATGAACACTGTGATGGGGATCCAGCACGCAGTTCAAACAGTATAATATAATGATGATGTTGTATTACAATTAGTATCATTGATATTGTGCAGTATATATGAGTAGAAATGCAACCACGCTGCGGCGCGGTCAGTCAATAAAGAGTTTAAAAAAGTATATAAATAAAAAACACTCGAATGAAATGAATATAACCTCGCTTATATATATTGATCTGCTCATGCTGCATCAGACAGCAGCAGTAGCAGCTGGACACTCTCTAATTCATTTCCTGCCACTTTGTTTTTTGTTGTTGTTTGTTTTGTTTTTTTCCAGCATCAGCAGGATGATGAATGAATGCAGGGCCGTGATGATGATGCATTCGAATCCGTGGATCATGTTTTTGAGTTGCATTTCATCAATGAGCAAGTTCTTATTGTCATTTCCAGTCCCAATAATAAACTTGTTTCTTCTCTCTTTTTTTTCTCTTATACATTTGTCCCTTTCCTCTTTTTATTCTGGTTCTTTTCTTGTCTTTGATTTTTATTTCTTCTTTTCTTAATATATTGTTGCGCTGATGCCTGAAAAGGCAGTCATTCAATGTCGAGTTACAGTATTTCTATTTTCCAGCAAGATACTGTATTTGAGTTGTTTATCTTACGGTTTATTATTCCCCGGATGCCACCTGTATGTGCTCTAATAGTACTATAGGTATATCATTCCTTATTATCTTTGCATCTTCTGCCCTGAATTATGAACGTACATGTTCTTCTCATATTATTATGTTCCTTCCTATATACATATGCACACCCCATCAGGAGGGATTCCAGCTTTCTATTTTATTTTATTTATTTATCACAAACTCTTTTTAATATCAAGACATCGCCGTACATGTTGGTGGTCAAAGACAAAAATTGAATGAAATGCATAATGTGGGATATTTTCAATCTTTTCTTTCATTCCATACAATAAATGACAAAAGGTTTTTTTTTTTTTCCTTTTTCGGTATCTGCTGTCAGTACCTCATAAAAGTAAACAGCTATAGTATTGTACAGCAGTGCACTCTTCTCTTATTTTTCGTGCCAAGAAATGGTTCAATATATACAGTACATCAAGCACTGCGTCATTAATTTTCCCCCTTCTTCTCTCTGTCTCTCATTCGTCAAACAATTCCTCCCGTTTTTAAATAAATAAAAAATTTAACGAAAAATAACCAAATTGTGAGCGGTGTATATACTGTATATATAGTAAGGTTTCTTATTCTACGTTTTCAGACTGACAGCTAACCTAACAAAAGATGAGCAGGAACTGTTTTTCACAGAATGAATTTTTCATTTTTTTTTCTAATTTGTGTACAGTATATTGGTGTATACGTGTATGCGCAATCAATCATTTATTCATTCGTCCTAATAATTTGCTTAATATAGGTATAATTATAAAGGTTAGATGATGATATAAGCGCATGATTTGAGTTATTGTCGCCAATATATTTGCGAATCTCGCATATATAGTAAATTACTTGTTTCACTTATGCATGCTGCTGCTGGTCAACATTTTACATTTTGTAAGTTGATTGCACGCATTAATAATATTTCAATGAATAAAATCCCGCATGTATAAAGGCCGGAGTTATGATGAAAGACACGCCGAACAAAATTAAATAGACGTTTTCGGAGAAATACATCCGCCTACTGTAATATAATTGAACGGTGCTGTTGAACATTATTCCTTAAGCCCTTCAGTCAATTGTTCAAACAAAATTCATTGCAAAATTTTTCCGCTTCTTTGCAATTCCTTCCATTTTTTTTCTTACTTGATTATACAGTATACAGTATATGCCGAAACGTTCAACTGACTCTAGTATAGTTCATTATTTAAAACTAAATTCCAGGAGCAAAGTTTACGTAGCACAAAAAAAGGAAATCGTTTTAAAGTCAATGAAACTAAAATCATCTTGGAAATCCGCTCAGAAAATCGGGCGCATATCATTCCATCATTATTATTTCTTTTCCCCCATCAATCATCGTAGTTTTGCTGCGGGATTATATGCACTGTATACGAAGGTTGTATATATGGTTAATACTGTACTTCTGATGAACAGAGTTTGTGACATTCCTCAAAAGATGTCCACTTAATTCTGCTTGCAATGCAGAAAAGTATTCTCAAGTCCCAGCACTCGGAGTGGATGAGATGTTCATCAAATTTTGGGTCAATTTCTCAAAACCTCATTTCGAAATATCCGTCCCCCTGGCATTCTACTGCTTTCTGCATATAACATATTACTGTTAAAACACAAATGAATAGTTTGTCCTCGAAAATGATTTGTTGAACCTTTACTATTCGTGCAATATGAAACAGAGCGTTTGCAAAAGCACGTATACTGTATAATCTCCATGCCCAGCTTTCATATATTCATCGCCATAGCGATGATGAAGAATGAAAAGCAAATTAGCCGATTAATATACTCAGTTTGCTTATTTTTCGCACTCGAAAAATTCGTCGTCCTCGTCGTCGTCACAGTGAAATAATGCGCAACAATAAATGAAACACCCTATACTGTACTCATCAACCAATCCAAATAAGAGCATCTTTATTTATTCGCATATACTAGGGTTCTAACAAAAGTTCTCGGAGTCAACCACAAGCCATTGCCTGAGGTGGATGAACTTTTTTTTATTGGATTCTTCATCCTTTTTTAGCATAGGACAAATTTTTTTGTCATCCCTAGACAAAAATGGAAACTGGGAACAAAAATTGAATGAGTTTTTTCTGGTGATGTGCCCACCCATTCTAACAGAAGTTCTTGGAATCAACCACAAACCGTCACCATTCCTTCTTACTCCCCTGATCTTGCTCCCTGAGATTTTTGGTTGTTTCCAACTGTGAAAGAAGGGCTTCAAGGGAAAGTGTTTTTTGTCAATAAGAAAATTTTTTTGACCCAAAAGTTTTTTTTTCATTTTCATTCCAAGAACTTCTGTTGGAATGGATGGGCACAGCACCAGAAAAAACTCATTCAATTTTTTTTCCCAGTTTCCATTTTTTGTCTAGGGATGAAAAAAAAATTGGTTCTAGCTTAAAAAAGGATGAGGAATCCAATAAAAAAATGTTCATCCATCTCCGGTTATGGCTTGTGGTTGACTCCGAGAACTTTTGTTAGAACCCTCGTATACAGCAGTAGCTGCATGTGCAACTCGTCACAGCATGTATCACATCATATACAGTACAGCGATATAAAATAACATGTACATATATGTTTCAAATTAATCCACACGCTCGTAATACTGTATCTTATTTAAATACTGTATACTGCTGTGTGCATCATAAACAGGGAGCTTGTGAGAGATTATCACGCCGAGCGGAATTTCTCCCTGCACTACGTGAACATGGGACCCAACCAGTCACAACCCACGGTTCTGGGCATCGACACCCGGTATCCCAGGGTCCAGCAGACAATGGAGGACCTGAGTTCCACACCGCCTCTGGAGCTTCTCATCGCTACCAAGTGCTGTATATACATACCGCCGTAAAATACACGGCTTTCCTTGGAAGAATAATGTGAAATCAGCACTCATCATCAGAGAGAGATTCTTATTACATCATCATCCTCAAAAAGAGTCATAGTTGACCTGGCGATTATATTTCTCACATCTTACATGCTATAATATTAGGGAGTACAGTATTCTTATTGGCTTAATGTGAACGAGTACCCTGATGAGTTTGACACTATAATGGAAAAGAATGTTTTGGGTCCGTGTTCCATCAGAATATCTATATATTTTCTTTTTGAATCAAATGAAAAGTATGGAGCCATTTACTGCTGGATCTTATTGAAAAATTGTCTGCAGAGCTTGTATAGTGTGTATGTACGGTACTATTGACTGAGTACAGCTAGTATACATATACTGTATATGTTGTTGATTATTATTTATTGACACACACAGGTGGCACTCTGCGACTGTTGCCTGGAATGGCGTGTCACCATTTGTATGATCCTTGCTGATTGATGATGCTCGAGATCATCGAGTACTGTACATGCATCCATCATCCGTCAGCATTGCGAAGAACAACTTTCCTCTTCCGTCCGGGCGCTGATCCAGAAAGGAGCATATCAAGTCTGTGCTACTGCTGCTGCTGGCGGCGAACTGCATGAACATCCCAACTTTCAGAGCTTTAGAAAACAGATGTGTAGACTTGTTTCAATAAGAGGCACCTGCTTATGATGATGATGATGATAATAATAGTACAGTAATAATAATAATAACAACGGTTATTTTCTTTATGCAGCACAGCGAGAATGAGCCGCCATCAGGCACATAATTCTCCCATGAAATGAAGAGCTATACACATGCTTTTTTTTCTACGAGCGAGATTGCGAATAAATTAATCAATCAGTTGCTGCTGCAGATGGGTTTATAATCGCTCGTTACTTGCGTTAATTGCCAAGTGAAAATCGGACGTCGATTCACGGTACTCTGGCATGAAAAATTGCACCACTGTGCGAAGGAAAAATAAAACGGATACGAAGAATAACGGCCTAATCAAACTGCAGTTCACCCTCATCTCAACACACTAGCTGGGAAAGGAGAACAATTCTGGTTTGGCCATCATGCAGCAGCAGGAGTCGATGACGATGAGGAGGAATGAACCTACCGGTAACTATACGACATCCTGTCCACTCCATTACACAGCAGGTCCCTTGAAATTGCAAGGAAACAGCAACGAAATGATAAATCAAGACACTTTTCTTTCATAACTGAAACCATGCATGTGTGCGTGTGCGTGTGCACAGAAGTACCGTATGGAAACGATAAATTATTCCCGGAAACAAACAACTGAATCGCGCTCGGATTTGATTATCTAAAAAAGCATTGTGGAATTAATTTGTCAAAAAAAAAAAAAGGCACATCGTCGTGATTATCCGGTGACGTAATAGATAATCACGTAGTTTTTCCCGTGCTGCGCAGTCGCACACCTCTCGTTGCCGTCGAAAAACAACCGACGAAAGTCCGTAAACGTCACTGCAGCCGACTTTTCATCGTTGTCGTCGTCGTCGTCTCCTTCATCCTTTATCCGACCGAAAATCTTGAGAGACTCTCGATAAAACAATCGGTCTTCCAGTCGCTTATTCGTCGAGTCCGCGTCGGTCGACTCCACCATCATCGTCATCTTCAGGTCGGCGGCGGCTGCATCAGGCGACTCTGCTGCTGCTGCTTCATTGTCGCCGCCACCCAATAGGGCTTTCGCCATCTCGTCTCGATGGGCCAGGAAGTAGTCCATGTTGCATCGGATGTCGACGGTCACGAGTTTCAGCGCGTCTCGAAACGAGATTCGGTCGACGGTCTTCCCGAAGACATCATCCGGTGATGATTTTGCTGCCAATGCTGGACACGACGACGAGGACGGCTCAACTCCATCATCATCTCCGAGCAATTCCTTGGAACACAGAGAATCCAGCTGGTGCCTGGACTCGAAGTAATCGGTACTCATCAGCCCGACGCTCAACTCGTACTCGCCGTAGCTGGACGCCTTCAGGGTCGGCAGCAGGACGCGGTCCCTGCCCCAGTTGGGGTCCCGGAACCAGGCGGCGACGTCCATCTGCAGTCCGTCCTTGTGCACGTAGACGCCGCCGGGCTGCGTGGCCTCGGCCGACAAAACGCGTGGGGCCACGTCCAGCGGAGAGCAGGTGCCATTTGCCAACCCGGCCTTGATGCCAGCTTCAAAATTAGCAGTAGTAGTCGTCGTCGTCGTTGTCGTCATAATTCCTCGTCGCAGAGTCCTGACGGTCCTGGTCCCGCTGCGAACACATTCCACGCAATTTATTTCAATCAAGTACTGTACAATATAAAAGTGGGGGCCCGAGATGCAGACGTGATTGGTGTTCCTCATGTCGGAACATTTGCACGTTTTCACTACTAGATTTCAAAAGGGGACATTTTCATTTACTGGTTCTCCTGTGCCTCAACGGAAAAATCCCCCCAAAAAAATGAGAATACTGTAAAAATTTCTTCTTCACTTCAAGACATAGAAAATGAATGTGCAGAAGAAAACCACACAGAATCCGCCCTTTTCCGCATGAAAAGGAGTCCAAAAATCAAAGAACAAGCACAAGTCCGGCTAAACTGTGATGCACAAACAGAGAAGCACAAAATGAGCTCATTTCGGATTATGAACTGCACCGATAAAATGCATTCTTCAGTTGTTTTTTTTTATGTAAAAAACACCGTAGCTCAAAGCGTTCAAGATGCTTTACATCGAGATTCTCTGGGAAATTTCATCAAAGCGTCCGTATCTCTCAAGATATTTTCCAGATGTAAGGGAAGATTGTTCCAGTGTCCCCAAATTGGAATCGTCCTCAAGTCGGGACTCGGATTATGAAAAAAATACCCCGATTCTTCAATCTCGCGATCCTTGCGAACGTGTTATTCATCAATATATACACTGAATGACTTATTGAGGCTACAACAAGATCATGTCACGCACCTGAGGATGACCCGACGCAGGGTCGCCAAGTTGCAACGCGTCGCAGCGAAAATGTACAACACGCGAATTAATCAAATTTTCACACAATTGGGCTTTCACACGAAACCCTCGAGTTTTCCTCTCCTGCCAAATGAGACAGAAAAACCACAGCGTTACAACAATATTTGAGAACGTGCACATGGTAAAAAGAGGATTTAAGGAAGAAAAAAAGACATCCTCACACACACACACACACACACTTTGCGTCACGAAATAAGAATGCTTCGTATACCCGCGTTTCCTTTCCTCTTTTTTTTAATATTATAAAATTTTTGTTGGAAAAGCGATATGAAGCCAAAGAAATTCACACTGTTTTCTCACAGAAAAATCAATCAAGGAAGCAAAACGCTCTTCGGTGGAAGGGAAAATCAACATCGACCAACCATTTGATCCTTCTATATGAAAAACGCATGGGCTAAAAGACGTGAAAGAGTAATTTACACACTTTGCCTGGTTGTCTTATTTGAAAGACTTGAAGCGGAAGACACAGGGGTTCAATAAGCTCATCATATTCACAGCACGAGTGAAATTGCCAACGATTGTTATTTCAAAATCACAAAAGGAAAACCGGGAAATGAAAGATTTCGAAAGCTATCGAACATTTTGTTATAAAAATTCAGATGCCCCTTATTTCTTCACGTTGGATCAGCACACGGGATAAATTCATGAACCCCGCGGAAACGGGGTATAGAAAGCTATTTCTTTTTTGGGCAAAGGAAATCTCAACTGTTTCACTTTGAACAGCACCCGTATGAAGGGAAAATATCATGTCTCAGTTGCGATTCATATTGTTTCTGGTTTCGTATCCGTAGTCCAGTCAAGTACAGTAGACGCCCTCCTGCACTGGCTGCCTCATTGCTGCATCAGGGAAGCTCAATCCTGGGTTGGAGGAGGAGGATTTGCCTGCTGCTGCTGCTGATGCCGACATGATGATACACACACACACACACACACACACAAGGGGAGAGATCAATTGCTGATTAACCCTTCTGCAGCAAAGTCAGGATATTTTTTCAAAATCTTGTGCCCAAGAGCACAACGGGAAGAAAAAATGCATAATTTTGGAGCAAGGGCGCGTAAATTGGGAAAAGCCCAATATCTTTTTTTTAGAACATTATGGCTGAAAAAGAATTCCTCCCTGAGTGGTGTTTTTTTTTTCTTCCTTCATTCCTATCATAGGATCAAGATTGATCAACAGATTTCCGTGAAATCACTGGTTCAAGATTTTTCACAACTTGGGCTTTTGCAATCCAGGGACACTTCAGTAACCCTTGGTCAAACTGAAATGCCCTATTGTGCAGAAAAGTAATAAATACACCCCAATTTTGACCTGCTGGGATGGAAAGGAACCCAGTGTGCCATCCAAGGATTCAATAAGTCATTGAGGGTTTCATTCCAAAAACGAAAAAGTAAACTCAAGGCACGTATAATATGGACTGCTTTTTGTTGACCTGATTAACAATAATACTGAATACAGTACAGTACTGCACCTGATTCCTCTCTTTAGCGACGTATTCCTGCCCTCCAGGTGGGATCTCGAATTGGACGGGTCGCGTAGGTGGAAGATCGGCAAACTTGTCCAGCCTCTCCTGCGCTGGGGCTTTATAAAAGTTGTCGACAGCCTGCTGATGCTCGTGGGTCTGCAGTTTCCCTATTTCCGTGTCATGTGCTGATCCGGGATCATTTTTCCCCCGCAATTGCGAATCCGGACCTCCGACCAAATTATGGGGGTTGTTTGAGTATGAAGCATGCAGAAAAGTACCAACGCGATTTGGATTCTTGAATTGACCCTCCTCGTCCAGTTGCTTCTCTACGATTGGTTTGATGTGATCCTTGTTCATGTACTTTTCCACTGCTTCTCGAAGTGGCTCCATCACGGAATCGTCTGCGGGGGCAGTAGTGTCACCCTGGGGTCTCGGGTCAAGATCCTTGACAGCTTGTTCAATGTCCTGATTGGGGATGATGTGATGAAGAGTTGTCTCTGTAGCTGGATCAGGACGATCAACAGCATCCTGCGGGCAAAAGAATTGAAAGTTGACGTTACATTCTTGAGATTCAAGTCGTATCAAGTGCATGTCTGAAAAAAAAAACCAAAATGCAAGAATACACTGCTGTACATTCTCCTGACAACGAACTTTTGTGAACTTGAGAAAAATCTTTTTTGGACTGAATGTTTAATAACATTTTTACAACAATGTTTAAAAAAAAGTACAATGACTGGAAAACGTGCTCATTTCAGACCTGCCTATAATCAATTACATCTTGCTTTTATTGCATTCGCAGATTCATTGTTTGGAACACTGAGCAATCTTGTGAAAAGCAAAAGGAAAAAATTGGCTTCCATCATGAATTCCATCAGCATTCAGTTGCACCAATCACTTCATCCTCGGAAGATGACGTGAGTGATAATGGAATCATCACTTCATGGGAAGCATATGTTAGGCCCCAATTACAGTTTACATCCAAGCTGCATGCATATAATGCTGAGAACCAGCAGCAGCATCAGCAGCAGTCAGTCACATACATTTGGCATCAGTGATTTCAGACTGCAGTGCCTTCCTCAAGTCAATGAATTTCTCCCTGGAGAATCTATTGAAAATTCCTCGAAATACAGTATTGTAGTATGTTACGCAAGATTTGGGAAACATTTTCTATAACAATGAGACATATATGTTTCAACAATGTGCTCTTTGTCAGGACTGGATGGAGAAGAAGTTGGTTATTCTGAAACATTTGTTACCACATTTCCTTTTTTGCTGTTACTCCAATGAGATGTCTTTTTTCTTGGTGTACGTAAAGAGGTGGAATCATCACGATTTACCTTGAATGGTTTGGCAAACTGTCTCCCACGACTTTGAAGCTTCATTTTTACCGCGTTTGCAAGGGCAAGGGCATCCTTGCGTTCCACAACCAACTTGCCATCAGCGTCTCTGTACAACCCGGCGGCGAATAGACTCCTGTTGGCCGACTCGGGATTCGTCGTCCTGATCCAATTTTCCGCCGAAAGCACTTTGCCGAAGCTGGCGGAATTGGACTCCATGCGGTCGGCTGTTTCAGCACGCAGGTCTTCCACAGACTTGCTAATGCCCTTGCTCTGCTCCAGAATCATGCTGAAGGCGGCAAAGGCACAGTCGTTGCCCGCCGAAGGTATTTCCCTGAACACGCCGTCGTTGTCCATGTAATAGGCGTGACCAACGTCGTCACTGTTGGCACCGGGTTTCACATACATGACCTGAACCCCGTTCTCGATTTCTTCGGGTGTCCTCTGGTAATTTTCATCGTCCACGACTTTCAAGTTGACTCCGTTGGCTTTGGCCATTGCCAAGGTAGTGGCGAGATTCGCCGGGGCATCCCCACGGACGCCATCGGCGGCTTTCTTCACATTCGGGTCAGGTGGCGCTGATGTGCCGTCATCGCGGCGGCCGCGGTCATTATCTTGGCCTGCATAATACGCCATCTCACACTGACTGTACGCCTCGCAGTAGTCTTTGGCGTTGTACTTCATCTGCTCCTCAAACGTCCGGAACCGGCCATAGTTGGCCACGAATGCCTTCTCTTCCGGGGTCAGATCCTTCTTTCCCTCGAGTTCGTCGTACTTTTTCTGATCCGCCTTGTGACTCTCGGAATTCTGCTCCGGATCCACCAGCAAGTGATGCTGGACTCGCTTGGAAATGCCCGCAGTCAGGTTGCTCACCATCAGCGTTGTCCAAGGCTGCAACATTTGCGAGTCCATCACCCTGATCAACTGGCCCGCGATTTCCTCCGACACTTTCCTCATCATCACGCTGAAGCACTCTAAATCAATTTCCAAGAATTTCGCGTACAAGTTCCGCACGAAATCGATGCATTTCTCAACATCGTCAGCAGCAGCAGGTGCGGCATTATCATTGCCGAGTTCCTTCAGCACTCTGTCGGGATTCTTCTTCCAGTCTTGGCACAACCTGTCAATGCTCTTCTGCACAACCTCTTTCCTGTTGGACTCGTCATCAGTACTACTGGCCAACAAGTCACTGTGGGACACGTTGAAATTGTCGGAATCGTCAAAGATGCTGCGACTTTCCTGCTTGAGCAGCCCATCGGCAATGAGGAATGCAGCGTCCCTTTTGATGCCGAGACTTTTGTGCAACACTAGGCCCAGTGTCATGGAATTCCGGTCCATGAGTCTGAGTTTCTTCACCAGGGCCTGGACAACGTTGTCAGTCAGGGTTCCCACCTGATACAGGCCGTGGAGAGTGCCCGTGATTCTGATGGCCATGCTGGCATAGCTCCCGCACTTGTTGGGGTCCGAGAGAACCCCCTTGAGCAGGGGCAACCCCACCGAGTCCCACTGCTTCCGCATAAAGTCATGCCGAGGATTCACGCTGTCAGACACAATCTGATCAACTTTGGACTGGAGTTGACGCGAGTTGGTCACCAGGTCGATGGCGTACATTTTCCGCAAATAGCCCATGAGCTCCGTGTTGCAGAACGAGGCCTTGACCCGGGACTGCACACACTCGCTGATTTCTGGTTTCAAGAGGTCAAAGGTGAAATTGGACAAGTACTGAACACCGGTGTTGAGACCCTCTCTCGCGACGGCCTCCGCAGTCTTGGTAGCAATGATTTTGGCAGCAAAACTCTTGGCGTTTTGACCCGTTTTAATCAGGGTTTGCCCAACTACCTTGGCATTGCTCACAACCTGAGTGCCAGCTTGCTCCAGCGCTTCTTTCCCCACTCCAGTCACGAATGTCTCCATGCCCTTGGCTGCACCCTGTACACTTTCCTTGCACTTGGAGTAACCCGCAGACACTGCAGAAATGACCAAACTCACTGCCTTCTGTTTGCAGTAGTCGCTCCAATGGAATTGCCGCGTGCTGTAGGCCCTGTAGGCTGTCATCATGTCAGCCAGGCCCTCGGTGACGAATCCCATTCCCATTGATGCGCCGAAACCCGAGGCTATCAGCACACCGCCAACGATGATTTGACACGCACCCAGGGCAGCCACGGCGCAGACACTCCACCAGGGAACAAACATCTTCTCGCTCATTTCCAAAAGGAACTGGATTCCCTTGGATTCGAACTCGTTGATCTCAACAGTGGGATACGCTGCCTTCATGAATAAGTCGCACACGTTCTTCACCTTTCGAATCTCCATGTCCTCTTGTTCCAGACTCGCCTGTTTCAGAATGAATTTCACTTCCTTGTGGGACAAGTCCTTGAATTCTAGAGAGAACTCTAAATTCTCTTTCCGCAGAGTGTTGATGACCATTTCCGCACTTTTCCGGTTCAATTTGTCAAAACTCAAGTTCACCCGATGACCACCAGCATCCCTGAGGCCAGTGTTGTTGTAATAATCCTGAACGCCATGGAAGGCAATGCCAAACATGACGTTTCCCTGCTGCCCACAGCTACTGTTGACAATATCTCTGCTGGTCTGACCAACTCCTGATGTCAGGGCCTCAAATTTGACAAATAATGGAGAGGTGTCTGTCTCTAGGTTTTTGAAACGATTCACGAGCTCCTTCCTAGTAACCTTTTCAAATGTGCTCGTCTTGCTCACGTAAACCTTGGCACTTTTCAATGCTTCATTTCTTTGGACAAGGTTCAGCAATTCCTTGTTAGACTTGTTGGCAACAAATTCAATGTCCAAACTCCTGGCCTTGATTGAAGACAACTTGAGCATTGCTTCTGCTTGATTCAAGTTGCCAAATTCCACATTTAAAGTGACATCAGGATCACTGCCTTTTGAATGAACCAACTCCTCGTTGAGTGCATTAACATTTGCCTCCTTGATCACCATGTCAAAGCGGAGGTCTTTGCTGCGGGGAATATCCTTTTGCATTTCCTCCTTCACAATGCTAATTGCTTCATTGATTTCTTTGTCGCTGAATGTTTGCTTGATGGCCTTGCTCTTTTCATGCTGGTTGGTATTATTATTATCACTATTATTATTATTATTATTGACAGAGTGCATTGTCAGGTTCACCTTGAAGGAATTGCCCACCCGCAATGCATGCCAGTAGGATCTTTCTTCCTTGAGCTTTGCCTCAGCACTTTCACCTGTTAGGTCAGTGAATTCCTTGTCAGGGTTGAAGATGCAGCTGTGCACTTGGGTCATGTCAACGTCCTTCAAATTGATACGGATGTTGTTGCGGGGTGGTGACTCATCATCTTCATCATGATCCAGCAGGCAACTGTATTCACTGGATCCAAACATCTTGGCTTTGGCAGCATTTCTGAGGCCTACCAGTCTGGAAACTGCCTCTCCTGCCTTTTGGAACACGTTACTATTAGCATCGAATGCATTGTTCAAGGTGTTTAAAGCCTGGTCAATTGTGCCTGAATCCTCTCTGCGCGTCAGATGATTGAATATCAGCGAGTACCTTTCCTTGTCACTCACTTTCAAGTCCTTGTTGTTTTTGAATGTGCTCAAGTCAGTCTCAAGTCGCTCTTGCTCATTAAAGTACTTGATGGTTTCCATGACTGCAGCGCCATCTTTGTGCTTGTGAACAGAAACAACGTCGATGAGACGCTTTGATCGTTTGACGGCATTCATGGAGTCATTGACACTGCTGAGGTAGGAACCCAGTATGGTGGCTTTGATGTTGAGCTGCTTGTAGAGGTCGCTGCTGAGGAACCCAGTCTGCTTTTGCTCCAGCAACAACTGAGTGGCACTCAGTACAGCCATTTCATTGGACAGACACGTCAGAGCAGATTTGAAAGCAGACAGAGCCCGGTCTTTGTAGCCCTCTTTTTGCTTGTCTTTCAACCGGATTTCACACCACCCAATGCCAACATACGCAGCTCCAGGACAGTTGTAGCTCATGCTGCTGCTGGAATGAGACTCTGGATCATCCTTGCTGCTGCTGGTGGTGGTCTTTGTGCTCATCATTTGCTCCAGATCCACGGCTTTCTTGAAATAGCTCATGGCTCGTTCCACCTCTTCAACACTTGCTGACTTGTCAGAAAGTATGTCATTGGCAATGCAGATGTAATGATATGGATTCTTGATGACATTTTTGGCTTCAAAGTCTTGCCAGAGCCGAGCAATGAGTTTGTCACACTCAGACTTGGCATCTCTGCACTGTATCACCTTCTCATCCAGCTTGCGCAAGAAACCTGCCCATTGCTCTTCAACAGCTGCAAGCACAGTACTCTCATACATGGTTGGGGGCTGGTCATAAAAGAAACTCTTGAATTTACTGCCAAGGGTTCCCTCCTCCTCTTTTATGCTGGCGCGGATTCTGCCATTGAGGAAAGCACAGAAAACATCAAAGAGTTCATCCTTGACTTGGATTGGCTTGAGGTCCACCTCTTGGAAAGTCTTGAGTTGCTGTGACTCAAACGTGTCTCGCTCTGCCTTGATGTTTCTAGTGGTGCTGGTGGTGATTTCATCATTAGTCTCATGCTGACTGCTGCTCATCATTGTTGTTGTCGTCGTCATCATATTCATCATAGGGAGTTGTTGAGCATTCAGGATCATGAGGCCCGTGCCACGTTTGCCCTGCCTGGCAGTTCTTCCAAATGCTTGATCTTCCACTCGTTGGTTGCCCGGCATGAATGTCAAAATGACGTGCAAACCCCCGGTCGTCTCAATTTCATCTGTTTGAATGTCAGTGCCTCTGCCTGCCAAATTTGTGGCTATTATGACTTCCCCCGGCAAAATCTTCTCCACGTTCTTCTCTTGGTTCACGTCGTTCATGGCATACACCTTGAGTGCATTCGGGGGGAGCTTATTCTTTGTCAGCAACAACTCTCGAATCCTACTGGTGTTCTCAATCGTTTCACAAATGACTAGAATCCCGCGGTCCTTTTGAATCTCGTGGATAATGTGTGACTCGATGGCCTTGAGCCAGGCAGCTTCACTCTCGGCAATGATGGACTCCAGCTCCAAATACTGCTTCTGTCGCCGCTGGGGAATGTTGATTAGATCCACTTGATACACCCTTTGCAGCACAGCCCTGGCAGTCTCTGAGCCAAGTGTCCCAGTGAGACCGTAGACATGCTTGTACTTTTTCATCAGCCCCATGTTGGACAGGAAGTTGGTGGTGATTGTCTCGCTGGTCATTTTCAAATTGTGCTTGAGCTGGAGAAACTGGTGCAAACCGTCACTCCAACTCGTGGAGCTCTGCACAATGCCCGTACTGTAATAGTCCACAGGCTTGATTTCCCCGTTTTGAACTACGTAGTGCACATTTTCCTGGTAATTGAGAGCTTCAACGGCATTTGCAATCCACTTTGGCTTTTGCTTTTGCAAGAACTCGGCAAAATTACTGGGGATGTAGATTTTGTTGACTTTGATTTGCTCGTCCAGATAGGATCCCAGCGACTTCCTCAAGTACTCATCCACATCATCACCAACATACTCACTGACCCGACTCTCATCATTGTCACCAAATTGAATGAGATACTTTTCCAAGTCTGGAATTTTCCAAATGCTGCCATCATTACTGCTGCTGCCGTCCACAACATCCAGTGTCATCTTGCCCTTTTCAAAGCCAACTTTCCCGTCAACAAAGTACAACTTGCCGTGAAACATGATGAACCTTTCTCTGATTGAGACCAGGCGTTGCCAGATGAGCACGTACATTGCTTGAAAGTGGTCCATGCCGGAAATGGTTGATGATAAGCGGGCAATTTTCGAGCTGTCATCAATGAGCATGCTGTCCACCTCGTCAATGATGGCTGTTGTGAACTCGCGTCCGTTCAAGGTGCCCAACTGGCTGTAGGTGTCTCGCAGGATGTCAAACTGAAACTGCGACATCTCTCCATAGACAATGTCGGCAGCATAGCAAGTCTTCTTGCCTCGGAGATACACGGTCTTGTCATTGTTGTCTGAGCAGGTGAGGCCAAACATCCGGTACAACTTGGCCTTTTGCTTGGCATCTCTCTCAGCCAAGACAGGGGAGCTGGTGATGACGTCGACTGGGTTGCCTCGCAATGCGTTGATGATGGCAAGGATGCAAATGATGGTGGACTTGCCTTCGCCGGTTGCCACTTCGAGTAACTTGCCCTTATTGTTCAGATGATGCTGTTGACTGCTGCCACTGCTGTTGGTTGTTCTCAGTGCAATCAAGCTGCAGAGTATTTGTGTGTCCGTCAGAGTGTGACCCGAGATGAGGAAGTTGGCACGCAGGATAACTGCCACTCCTTTGTAATCGCTAAATTCCGGAATTATGCCATGCTTGACGTCCAATGCCCACAAGTAAATCTGCTTCTCGTTCCAGAGCAACTCTGCGGAATGATCCTCAAACACGTGTTTCCGGATATCCAAAGCACCTCTGTTGATGAACTGCAGTAATGCCTGGTCGTGCTTGTTTGATTTCTTCAACTCAGCCACGAGTTCGTTGAGGTCCTTTTGTTTGCCTTCCAGCTGAAAGTGGTTCTCAATGGCTAGTTTGTTCAACTTCTGCATCATGGTTCGGAAACTCGTGTTGTCCTTCAAGATTTCCTTGCACCTGATGAAATTAGATGCCGAGAACAGGCCGTAAGTTTGGATCGTGTTCAGAAAGTGCAGCAAGTTGCGAAACCGATTAAATCCGGCCCCAGCAGCACCACTACTACTGGGTTCAAATGCAGCCACAAGGTCACGCATCTGCACAAAGTCCCATCCCGCATCACACAAAATTTGGAATAGACGTAGGAATTGCTTCTCTTCTGCTTTCGTCTCTGGCCGACATTTGGCGCATCTCGTCATCAACTGCTTGGCCTCAACTAGGCGCATCAGGTGCATCAGTTGGACTCCCTCATTATTCACGCCGTCCAGCATCAGTAGCGCGTCACTCGGGTTGATTTTCTCTCGCAAGCAAAAGTCAATGAGGTTCTCAAACGCACACAGGTTATCAATCGACTTCAAGGAGGCAAAGAGTTTGCTAATGAACTCGGCATGGAAGGCGGAACACAGCTTTTGGGCCAGTCGCTGGGAATACTGGACACTGATGCCGCCTCTTCTTTGCTTTTTATTACTATCATCACTGGATGTAGATGCATTACGATGATGATGATGATGATGACCACTGGCTTGGATCTTCCGCACACACCATTCTTGTTTGAAGGCAGTGTATGGATCAGGACTGTGCGTATTCAACAATCCCATGACCTCGTCAAAACTGAGATCGGGCATCATCAAAGTCAGCTCAGCAATTTGTGAGAAGCCATGCTGGAACTTGAAGTTGTGGAGCAACAAGAGGACCTTGCAGGATTTGTGATACTTGAACGTCTCCTCAACCCGAAACCAGTTGGCGTAGAAATTCATCTGATCCAACTTGTTGACGACGCGGAATTTGGCGAAAATGCTCGAAGCCAGCAACTCTCGTTTCCACACGTCTTTCTCATTCTTTGCAAACACATCCAAGTCGGGGAACTTGAGAGACACAATTATTTCCAACAAGTCTGGAATCGTGTAGCCCTTGTGATTTGATTTCGCATCAAGTGTCACGTCTGCAGCACAGCTCTCTGTCACACTCGTCAACAGAAGGTCATTCCAATTGTTGACAATTGTTGCATACTTTTTGTCCTTGGTGCTGGAAGCTCGCAAGATCCCATACGCAGTCCACCTGATGAGCTCATCATCACTGTCCAGACTGTCGACAACAACATCCATGCACACACTGGGCAGGGGTGCAATTATCAACTTGCTCGCATAATACATGCACAGGAAGAGCCACGTTTTCAAACCCACTTGATGTTCATCTTGAATAATCAAACTCTGCTCCTGCTGCTGCTGCTGCTGCACAACCAGCAATGACTGTTCAAGACATTCTTCAACCTTGCGGCACTTTTTCTCCTTGATGATTCGGCAATAACACGGCAAAGTCATGTGCAAAAGGCGTCTCTTGAGCAGGCATTGTTCAACCAGGTGAACGAATGATTCCACGAGGAAGAATGAGTCGGGTTTCTGCTTCAAAATCATTTGGAGAAGATCCTCGAGTGTTTGAATTCCCAAAATCTCATCCTTGCTGCTACAGCTGACTCGAATCGACTTGAGCAGATCTGACACATCTTGATTGCTCATCCCAAACTCTCGCTTCAATATCTGCTGGCAAAACTGGCTTTGCAGAAATGCTGTCTCCATTATCTCTTCATCATCTCGTTGGCTCTGCTGCTGCTGATGAAGATGATGCGACGAGTTTGCTGCTGCTGCAGCTGACATCCTCAGCTGATTTGCAGCTCTGTCAGTCAGACCTTTCCCACTGACACCAACTTCACTGAGCAATTGCAGACACAGGGACTTGAGCGAGTCTGACACAGTGCTCTCGCACAAGATGGCAACACTGTCCAACAACTCGTCCGTCAATGCAGACTTGCACTTGCAGCCCAGCAACAAAGTCAACGCGGCTTCCTGCAATTCCTCCCCGGCATTGTCAATCACGTGCTTGAGTTGTTTGTAGTTCTGGGCAAGGAATCCCGTGCTGAGATTCACGTAGCAACGCAGTTGTGCCAACAAGTTCCTCGGCGAGTCGCTTTTCAAGGTGGCCAGCTGCATTTTCTCCCGGTACTGCCTTTGGGCAATGCATGGATTGTGACTGTCGTCGATGGAGTCAAACAGGGCTCGAATCCCGAGTGCCACGGATGGACTGCACCTGCTGCTGGAATCCGTGCATGTTTCCACCAGGGCCTCGAGCAGCGTCTCGTCAATCATTACTACTCGCTGCTGCTGCTGCTTTACATTCATCATCCTGCTGCTGCTGTCACCTACTCCTTGTATCACTGCAACCAAAGCACTGACTGCACTCACACACAAGCTCTGCACGTTTGCGTTATCCGACCGGATTTCACGGGCCAAAATCCCATTGATTTTTGGCAGATACAATTTGCAGAGGTCCGCCTTGTTGGCATTCATCAGCGCTGGCAACGAACTCAGCAGCTCTTGAATCAAAACAGGGTCCTTTTCACTCGCAAGTTTGTCCAACAGCTTGTTGTTGACAACCAACGACAGCTTCTCGCCCTTTTGAGCCAGGTAATTGAAGACCAACAGGGCGCTTTGCTCCAATTTTGATAATAATGATGATGACAACGACTCATTGTCATTGTCATCATTGTCCATCCGCATTTCACTACCTGGCCTCGGCAGCATCAGCGCCTTTTCCAGCTTGTCCAGCAGATGTTTGGGCAGCATTTGATTGTTCTTGGCAGCATTCTTGAAAATATTGATGAGAACAACGTTGATGGTGTGGTCCTTCATTTGTGTTTCCGGGTCAAACATGGCAATGAGTGCGTCCAGTAGCTCTTGAGGGATGATTTGCTTGTTTCTCGAAGCATTCGCAAACACTTTCAACACGTCAACGTCATCAATGTCCTTTCCCAGTGCAATGTTGGTGTCCACTGGCAATTGCATCCCTCGTTCCGTGGCGTATTGCAGGAACTCTACTATTTTCCGTTTTTCACCATCAGGACGTGCTGGTGCCAATGATTTCGATGATGATGATGATGATGGTTTGTGTTGCTGCTGTTGACCATGATGACTCATCTTCTCCAGGGCATATCCTGCCCGAACCAACTCGAGCTTGGTGAAAATGCCGTCGTCCAAGTCCTGGTTCTTACTTGCCTGCTCCAGCAGTTTGAAGGCGTAGACCCGGAGATGAGAGTTGGACGAGAGCCAGAGGTAGTCGAGAAACACACACAGGGTTTTACCCGTCACGCAAGACTCGCCGCTGAGAATGATGTTCTGCAACACGACGAGGGCCTCTTCAAAGTGGCTGGGAATGCTCAAGCTGTTCTCCAACACGGCCACAGTGGGTCCAGGCACCGTGTACTTGAAAGTGTAGGCCACGAGGATCTCAAGCACTTGCGGAGCGTATTTGCCGTTCAGGGCGAGGATCCCGTTGAAGAGTGCAAAGAGATCCTTGTCCGTCAACTCCTGCTGCTTTCGGCACGCGTGCAACACCACTGCAAACAGGCTCTCGTTGATTTCCGGCTCGTAATCGTGTTGACCCAGCATCAGGCTGTCGGGGGCAAACAGGCCACTGATGCCTTCCAAGTGCACAGGGTCAATAATAAGGGCGGCATCAGCATCAGGGGCATTGTCGTCGTCATCGTTGTCGTCGTTGTCATCATCACCATGGTCGCTGGCAAAATCTGCACACGCCTTCAAGTACGCGGCTTGCAAATAAACGCCCACGTCGTAGATGGAATCATGGTCGTCGAGCAAGTCCAGGAGCTGATTCAAAAGACTGGGCTGGAACGCAACGTACTTGGTGAGATGATAGATGCTCTTGGCAGCCAGGATCTTTGTTTGCTTCTTATTCTCCTGCTGATGATGATGGTCAGACGACGAGATGTTATTGTCCTCGAGGACCAACAAGAGGTTGTCGATGGTGACAGGCGTGACAGCCACTTGGTTTTCAATAGACCTGAACACCATTTTGGCAGCCAGCAAGGATATTTGGTTGGAGGAGGAGGAGGAGGAGGAGGAAGAACCAGCAGCAAGCCCGGATTGAGTCTTGTTTCCGGACAAAGCGTTGACGAATAAAATGGGCTGACCATCTTCCTCGTTCAGCTCCCCGACGTGATGGCACAGCATCTTGGTTGACAGCGACTCAACAAAATGTTCGTTTTTGATGAATGATGACGCGTTCTTCGTCTTCTTCTCATTGTTGTCACTGCAAAACACCCTGCTGAGAATAAACACCATGTAGCTCGTGCATTCTTCATCGTGACTCAGCCGATCAAAGTTTGACAGCAGGAGGTTCACAACACTGGGCGACAAGGACTCGTGGGTCTTGTCAGTGGACAGCAACAGAGACGTCAGGGCAGAATTCAGGAGATACGGGGTGTCAATACCGTCTTCATATTCATCACCTTGCATTGCAATCTGGAGCAAGTGTTCAAGGTTTCCCGTGCTCAATGCATTCGTGTGCTCCTCGTGTTGCAGACACGTGTTGATGATGTCCACAACGTCCAGCTTTTGTGCCTCGGTCAACTCATTATTGGCATTATCCAAGAGCTGCACGAGTTGTTCCATCACGTCGTGAGTGAAGAGCTCTTTGCTGCGCTTCGAGTCCCGGGCTTGGCTTTTCACGAATGACAAAATGGGTTTCACGTTGTCCCGAGACTCTTTGGGCAAGCGGGTGAGAAAGTTTTGGAACGTGTCGGCGTAGTTGAAATCATCCAAGGTGTTGGCCACTTCAATCAGCTTGAACACCGAGTCCTCAAACTTGGCGTTCGGGTAACGAGTTTCCTTGTCCAGTTTCGTGTAGGCATTGATGATCTCGACTCGTTCCTTGGTCAGCACTCGTTTCTTGTCTCGAACAGCGCAGTTGACCAGGGCCTTGAGGGCATCCACTCGCACGAGGTTCACCTGGTCAGCCACGAGTTTCTCAACGTCTTCATTGCTGTAGGACTTTCTCCGCACTTCCGTCGTGTTGTAGACCCAACCCACGCTCAGGTATTCCTCCGTCGTCCTGCTCGCAATCTCCTTGAAAAGGCTCGCAACGATGTCCGGACTCGTCAACGTCTTCAGATCCCAGTATCTGTCAAACACAGCGTCGACGATCCGCTTGGCAAAGTCCTTCTCAAAGTCCAGTCTTGTCACCAGAGAGTCAAACGGAGTCAAGCACTTGAACAACTTGTCGACGGCTGCGTCGTTGAGCTGCTGCTTCCTCGACACCTTCTCGAAAATGGACGCACACATGCGATTGATGAAAAATGAGTAGAGTTTGGACGCGTTCCCGTCGCCGACTTTGGAGTTCCAGAAAGTGCCGGTGAAGTAATGGTAGCCGAGAAACTTGTCGGGCAAATACGTGTCCTTGTCGTCCTTTTTGAGCACGTGTCCCTGGGACACCAAGGAGAAGAGGTTGATGGTTTCTGCCCACGTGGTTCGAAACACGGATTGATCATTGCCACTCTCGTCGTTTGTGGACTCGAGCTTCTCCAGGACGGTGTTGCACTTGAGTTTCCGGTTCCTGTTCCTCATGCAGTCACTCAAGTTCATGAGCTTCAAGTCCGCCTCTTCCGACTTTTTCGTCTCCTGCTTGGACTTGACCGTTTGAATGGTCCTGCTCACGACCTGCTGGTTCTTCTTCACCTTGCGTGGGTTCATGGATGAGCGAGGCCCTGTTTGCTGCTGATGATTCTTGTTGTTGCCGGCGACAACCACCTTTCCACTCTCCAGCTTGGACAGAAACAAGGACTTGGCTTCCTCACCCAACTCGGGCAAGTTAAGAATCAGCGTTTCAAGCTCGGATAGTTTATGGCTCCTGATGTCGTTTGACTTTTCCAAAACATACGCCAGACACGTGACGAGTGCATCGTTGGTTGCTCGGTCGTTGTTGTTGATGTTGTCGTTGTTATTCTCCCCTGCTGATGATGCTGATGCAATCAGCAAATCCGCAACCGCAGAAAATTGCAGAAGATGAGGGGCGACGAAACTCGCTGCAGGACTGTTTCGGGCCAGGTACTTGAAACACGAGCAGAGGAACTGGATCCTTTTCTCATGTTCGGCGGGGGCGTCGCAATAATCGCCGTCACCACGACGACGACGACGAGTCAAGCTCTCCTCCAGATACCCGTACATGTCGTCAACGATGCCCGGGAGACGGCCCGTCAGGTCATCCAGGGTCAAGTCGAACTTGCGAATGAAATACGAGACTTTGACAAACTCCTTGATGAAGAACATCCGGTCAGCCTTGTGCAGGGCCTCGAGCTCGTCCAGAGCGACTCGCTTATCAAAGTAGAACTTGAGCGACTCTTTGAACTTGTTGGTGGCAAACTTTTGGAATTTCCGGATCGCGATGGCCACGAAGAACAAGACCGAGAGTTTTGGAGGAGGTGCCCGTTGCCGCTTCCTGATGGACTTGACCAGCCATCGGCCGACACTTCCAGTCATGCCCAACATGTTTGATTGGTGCTGACTGGTGGTGGATGGGTCGATATTGCGAATAACCTGCGGCAGGAAGAGAACATACTCGGTGACAACAACAACAACAAGTGATGGCACAAGAATGTCTTGGTGCTTTCAGTTTGAAACCAAGACACGCACAATTGTGTGTACAGGTATACAAGTGGACCCATCAGCGCCACCCGGACAACTCATCGAATCGAACCGGCCTCGCCGTGTCGAATACAGGTTTTCAACAAGTCTCTGTCTGAATTCCCTTACACAAACAATGCATTGCACACACACATACCCTTCATTGAAAGGCTCATCTTCCCGTCATCGGGCCTCGTTAATTACAGTACTATTGTAACTCGAAATTTCCTACGTGTAGGCCTTTTGGCAATTTATTTATTTTATCGATACACTGGAAAAAAGAGAAAAACACTTTTTTTTAAAATGCGACTTGATACATTTTAATTGTAAGGAAAAAATGATCGAGAGACTTCCTTGGCTTTATTGGGGAAATAAACCCGGAGCCTGCCTTCAACTTGAACTTTCAGCTGCTGTATGTATATTATCAATAACTCCATCATTTTTGAAGAAAGAAGCAATTGAAGGCCCAGAATATCACCTATACTGTACAGTACTTATTTACAGTTTCCTGCAATTCTTCTCTCTTTTTTTTTCTTTTCTTTTCCCCCACCCAGAAAAGTGCTTGATTCCTCAACTCGAATTTCGGTGCTGGTCCCTAAAATACACGTTCAACTGTGTTTTACGAAAGGATGTGAAGATGACATGAGTCAAACCCTAGCCTAGCCTCATCGACAAAGGCCTCAATTACACGCCCGTTTCCAAAATTGTACAGTACTGTACAATAAGCTGAACCACTGTTGCAGTTAGTTTGTATAATAAAGCCAGGAGCGAGAAAAGGAATTTGTCCTTTCGTAAACGTCCAATAACCCAATCAATCAATCAATCATGTCCCCGACTTATTGAGATGACGTCAACGTGCATCAGTACTGTATCATTGCATCCAAAAAAATTGTCATCTTTCGGGAACATACAGTAGACACTTTCTCACTGGATCAACCGTCAATCAGCAGGAGCCACTCACCGAGTTCTTCAATCAGAAGCGAGTACCGTACTGAATGCAGTACAGTACTGTTCATCGGTTCCCCGGCAATCGGATGGATGGCCGTGAAACAAGCAGACGAGGCACCAGGGATCGGACTTGGATGACGCAATAATAAATGTCCAGCACGAAAAGCACCTGAATCAATTACAAACACACAGGCATACTTAGAACTAGTAAGACATACCGAGCAGTCATTATAATGCCATCAAGTCGAACGAGAGTAATTAACAATTTCAGAATTTAGTGTGTACAGTATATGGGACACGTAGTCAAGCACAAAAAACAGGTTCAAGGCAATCATTTTCAAGTTTAATCTCGCCGGCACACGTCACTACGACAGCCACCTACATTAATGATGACGACTTATTGCAGCCTGACCAAGATGACAGACACCATCAAATCCACAAAAGGAAGGAAGGAAGGAAGGAAGGAAGAAAGAACAACAACAACAACAAAAGCGTACGAAGAAAAATGATTGTAGAAGTTACGTGAGAATATTACCCTCGATGTTCCTTTCAGCAATCGAACAGATTTCAATTCAATAAAGTCGCTTTTTTTTCGATTCCATGATGACCATAGCAGCCATTGATACATATACGAGGTAGGTCATTTGCTCGACTTCCTTTTTGTTTCGTCTATTCCACCACGAACAATGATGTGAATTTGAGGCTATTTTCTTCATCAGGATTTCTCAATCTTTTCAATGGTGATAAAATACTGTATATTCGAGAGAAAAACATCGAATTCACAAGTATATTGTGGACAGATGCTCGTACAAGTCGATGGGCCCGCCTTCTACACTGTACTACAGCAGAACACAAAACCCGGACGACGACGTCGAGTTTTTAAAAAATTAAAAAATAAAAGAGTTAGCGACGCTTCTTTAGAGGTAATTGATCATTTTTTCGAGGGGGGGGGGGAAAGAAAAAATAATTGTTACTGGTGATATTCTGGGGTTTAAATTGCTTCTTAAATGAGTTGATACGATGGTGAAATTCAAAACAAGTTTTCCAAACAAGTCAAGCACTTCCATGTGAAAACCATCCGAAGAGCCATGAGATCTCCGGAAAAATTCTACCTGAGAAGGCTTGAAGGGTGAAGGCCTTCGAGTACAAAAAGTTTTCAATGCATGGCTTCCAATAAGAGAATTCAGATGACAGGGATTTGAAACAAAAACAAAAAAGTGAGACAGGAAGGTTGGAGTTGCTCAAGTTCATCAACTGATGTACACAACAATACAGCTACAGCAACAACAAGAAAATACACTCTTCACACTGGCCCCATGAACTCACCGAGTTTTCTTACTATTGCTTTACCGTATACTGTAAGTATACGGTATGTATAGACAGCCACCAGCAACACCTCATTCAATCCTGACCATTCTCATCCGTCAAACCTCCCTTTTATCTACCCTACTTCATACTCTATATGGTCCATCAAAATGGAAGATTAAAAACAAGAAATTCGGGGAGCAACTCCAAACTTATCTAAAAATACAAGTGGAACCCTCCCTGGTTGTAAAAGCCTTATCTCTTTTTCTTTCTCGTTCCTTTCCTCCTGTGTGGTTTGCTAATGATGATCAAAGACTGGCGCCCAAAGAAAGAGAGAAGGAGTGCATTTCCACGTAACGAAGAAAGACGGAGAAATGTTATCTCATTCATTTAATCAGTCAACTGCCCTTTCAGGAAAGCGCAATGTCTTCAATAACCCACCCCCCCCCCTCCCCGGACTGTTTTCTCACACTTGTACACGGCTCAACTGAAAAAGATTAGAAAAACCTCAAGTGTTCTGGAGAACGATGACAACAAGTTTTTGTGCTGAGTAAACATAACTGAAGTTTTGATGATGATGATGATGAACAAACTCGAAAAGCAAACAAACAAAAAAGGAGTCGAATCCAAGTCCCTTCCAGAAAAATGTCACAGCCAGTGTACAGTACTACAGTATACAGTAGTGTACAATATTTGATGGGACATACCATGTGACAACACAAGGGGTCTGTTAATTCCGGAAAACAATTTGTCAATCAGGGCATGACATTGCCGTACGTCTGACACGTAGGGATAGATGTCTCATTCATACTCATGAGCCAAACTTTGAAATTTAAAGCACATTGACCGCATTTTTTTTTTTTTTTTACAGATAACACTTCTCTAAACCTGAAAGAATGTTCAAAAATAATTTATACAAACTCGATGACTCTTTCTTAGGGTGAGAGAGAGAGGGGGGGGGGTATATGAGATAATGAGCCACAGTATCGATCACAAGCCTGGCTTGATTGACATGAGTTTAAAAAATACAGTACCACTCTCATTACTGTATAGGGCTTCCCTCATGTGCAACCTTCTTTCTCCACATCACAGAATCCACAACAGAATCAAAAACGTACACTCATACAGTAAAGCATTTTGAAAATTTCATCAATCAGTTTCCTCACTACAACATTTCTCCGTATAAGTGTCTCGCCTTACTTTTTTTTTTCCTGAAAAGAGAGCACTTGATAAAGGCTTATCATTGTACAGTAATGCTGAAAGTAGAATGGAATGAACCTTGTTTAGATGATTATGTTTCTCATTCCACTGATTTTCAATACACAGAAATATTTTTTAAGTACAAAAAAATGCAATTACCAAGAATGTTTCCAAGCGTATCCAAGACGTTTCTTCATACAAACTATTTCATAAAGGTCTTGTTACAATGAACTCATTTTCACCAATGCAATCTCACTGATGTACAACAAATGAATGTCCCTGAATAGTTACACTGGCAAGATGAATGTTTCCTCATTGATTAAAAAAAAGGGGAAATCTACGGTAACTGATGCAGCTTGGAAAGTGTGTCTATATTCAGAAAATCCTGTAAACTTTCTGAACAGGAAATTTAGCATTGGAGAAAAAGCGCAGGATATTCTCAGAATTTCTCCAGCTTCATTTTAAAGTTCAGAAACGGCATCTTTCAAATAAAGAGCCTTTTGGAATAATATTGCTCTATTTCAGAGTAAAGACAGTTATGATTGCACAAGTGATCTTCCTGAACATACTTTTCTTCTTAAACATATTCAATACCTAAATCAATACCTATTCTGAGAAAATGTAAGGCATTGCACGATCAATCGTGGGGAGCAATACAGTGCAGTGCAGTGCAGTACAGTATTTCAGATTTTAAACGTTTCCTTGTTCATTCATTAAACGAAGTTGGAAGGGATGAAAATTCCCAAGGAAATCTGTAGTGGAAGTACAGTACTGTACTTGTAGCATTCATCGTCTGTTCTTGACCTGAAAGTTGTGAAAATTATAAATAATGAGTCCCGATTGTATCAAGTTTTTTTTTTCACTTCAGCTACAGTACAGTAAAATACAGAGTATTCTTTGACGGGTATCTGGAAATTTATTGTAACGAGATTTTACTGCAGCAAATGTCAACAAAGAGGAGTTCATGGAAATCACTCTCTTTTTTTACGGGTACTCTTGCAAAATCTAATCTTGTGCTCTACAACAGTGCTGTATATTTTTTTGGTACAGTAGAACGATATTAGACTATAGAGTACCTATAATACGCCTAGAGTAGAAGTGGCTTGCATTTTTATTAAACCCGCGGAGGTCTGCAAACGAATCCTCCCGCCAAAGTACAGTGCAAGAATAAAAGACGAGAGAAAGAAAAGCTGAATCGAGAGTCCATTCAACGCAACATTCAATGACTTTCTCACATCAACTGTACCCGTTGCAAATATAATGACTGGTCTGTATACAGTACTGTATTAAACTGATTCATTATTGGAAAAGAAAAGATGGGAAATATTTTCTTTTCCAATAATTAATTGGGGCCTCGATTGGAGCACACACACCGTTCTGTACTTGCACTTGCTTCAAATAGCTTCCAATAA